GTTTTCTACACTTAATTGTTGTGCTATTGCAACGTGCTCGGGGGAACCATTGTTACGATATCAGTTATCCAAAATTCTGGAAGGCTATAAGAAGGCTCTAGAAGGTTCTATGAAGATGGCTGTTAATACGCGTAGGTATATATAGGTGAGTTCGCTCCTGTTGATGGCTTGTGTCATTTTAATAACAAGTAATAATTTGGACGGGTTGAAAAGGGTTGAGTGTGTAATGTGTATATTTTGTAATGGTCAATCGCATATTATGTGTTTAGTGTATAATATATATTTAAGGGTAACGCTATTTTATTGGTTTCTTTGTTTTTTATTTTGCTTCTACCGTCCACCGTCACTTGCAACTTCGATGATCTACTGTCAACTTCATCGCCATCATATGCCACCCTGCGGCTTCGAAGTTCTTTGCTATCATTATTTTATTTGTTTATCATTATACATATTCGTCATTACTCATTAACAATACGAATGCCCCCTATATGCTGGTCTGCGGCGCCTTATTATTATTTAAGCGAATTATTTTATTTGCAGATTACGAAAACTGAATTCAGTTGTTTTTATGTTTTCATTACCGCGGAAAAATACCAAATAATTTACTCCACGAACACCGCCGAACACGCCAATAGCGATTACCATTATTATTATTATAAATTGTAATAACATTATTATACTCGTATAATCCTACACGCGGTACAATGCATAAATATGAGTGGCGCGTGATGTTAACTTCCGATTTGGAAAATCGACGAACCGAAAATGCGCCTCGCCCGAACAATATACGCGACCACCGTCGGGGGTTTAGGGAGGAGTGGGGGGGGGGTGAAAAACGCGACACCATGCATTTCCTACCCACGACTCGTCGCACGTCCACCTGTCGGAAGCAGTGGCATGTGTCGCTCGACGTTTTTCGACAAGAGTCCCCGCCTAACGTGGACGGGGGCGAGGTCGGGAGGAAAGACGATTATTTCGCATGACGTGTTGTGACAAGCGAAATGGATAAATGAAAGCGACGAAAGTAAAAAAAAAAATAGAACTCCACCGCGACTGCCACGCCGCCGTATGATATTGTAATGTCATCGCCGTCGTCGATACGTGACAGGGTTGGCGGCGCATTATTATTGTTTAGGAATATTGTAACTTTTAACGCGTATGACACGATCGGCCGAGTTTAAACTAATTTCATTTCATTTCATTTTTTTTCACTCTCAACAGCCCCCGGGGTGGTTATACTATACACCATAATGTATATATATACTCTGTCGCCACACCGCGCGATCGACCCCAACTCGCGTTGGCAGGCATATCTTTTCCACCCTATTTAAAAAAATAAAATATAAAATATATATATATATATATATGTAAGTGTGTGTAACATTACTCCCTTCCCGCCACAGCAGCAGTATATAGGGGTTGTTAACACCGTCCGCCACTGCAGCCGTCCATCGTCGCATGCACCACGGCCGCCGCCGCCGGTCCTCCGTCCGGTATATATTTAATTAGTTAAAAGCCTCTTGACATACACCGACGACGACGACGACTACAATATAACGGAATATGATGAGGAGGTGGCGGGCAAAGTTCTTTTTTAAATTCTCCGCTTCAGTTACTCGATATTATACACCGATCACGCGATCACGGTATATATAGTACGGTGGTATAAAAACAAAAAAAAAAAATACAAGTTTAAATAATTTAATCCCAGATTAAAAAGAAAAAAATACCTGTGGAGGAGAACAACTCGACTTATTAATTATAATTGGGAAAAATATTTTGATAAAGGAACCGCAACACGTGAAAATAATATGTACATTGTATATTTCGGTAATAATAAGAATAATACTGAGCTGGTTTTGTGAAAACGATATAATTAACTTCACTAACATATATGGATATGGCATTACCATGAGATATTTAATTTTTACATCTTAGGATAATTTCGTAGATTATTACAAAATTATTAAGATGACCGTGGTTGCCTACAATATATAATATATAGTATCACACACATTTCAAAATAAATCTTAACCAAGAATATAATTATTCACGATCCATGTGAAATAAATAAATACATTTTTTTAGAAAGATAATTTTTAAACTTATTAAAATAAATAATTTAAGAAACATATTAAGTCAAAAACGTTTTAAAAATCTATATAATTTTCAGTTTTAAAAAAAAAATTAAATTTTAACTAAGCTTGGTACAGAATCACACAGGTGATGTCCAATACCTAGATAAATTAGGTTGTACATTTTTATTCATATTATTTGACTGTAGTTGAAATTCAATGAGAAACTAATAATATATTAATAATTAATGTACAAAGATATTTTATGCTTATTAGCTTATAAGAAAACTTTTATTACCAACATTAGTTATGTACCTCATACTTATGTATTGATGATTGTGTTAATAGAAAAGTTCGTTAAATTCAAAATGGACGTCCCGTCGGGTCTTATATGAATAATAATTATTAAAAGTTTAAAAGTTACATTGAGCTTAGAGTTAAAGAAAATAATTGTTTACTTTTAACGAGAAAGGAAAAATAATATAAGATATCTTTGAGTATTTACACCAAGTACACCCACCACCTATAAAAATTGATTAAATTATATTTTTAATTAAAGAGAATCTGACACGAGTTTGTGCTTCGCACGTATAAAATTCGTGGTGGTACTTGTCCTTTTCACAGTCGATGAATATTTTATCAACAGAAACTATAGGGAAACTTTTCTTTTTTTTTCCTTTAAATTAATAATTCGCTTTTGCAGGAATAGAATAATATAGCGAGCACCGACGTGTAAAAATGAAAACCATTTACTCACGTTGCACGCAGTAATTTTCTTATCTTTCCGGCTCAATTTGTTCGAGAAAAAATATAATAATAATAGAGAGACGAAAATGAATATCAGTCGTTTTTCTCGGTCGACCAGTTCCCAATATCATTTTCGTACTCGGTCGTTCTGCAGACGACGATCCAAATCCTCTGGACCATGACTCGGGATCGTAAAAATGCCAGTCTCTCGCTCGTCAGCAATGTCTTCCCGTGTTATTAGTTTTCGCCCCGGTCGGCCGCCCCCGTACCATCGCCACCCCTCCACCAACCCCCTTTTCGCCGACACGACAATAATAACAATAACTCGGGCGACACGAGTCCTGTGCGCCCAGCAGAACACACACGCATTACACACCCACACACCCACACGCAAACACCCCGCGCCGCTGTGTATTTGGGGCTGCCGAATTTACGGTCTTCGGCTAAATGAGCCGACACTAAGGGTCTCGGCACACGGGACTGTCGATAAAACGCAGGCCATCTTAAAAACTACACTGCCGCCACCGAGTCATCACCGCCTCGAACCGGTGTAGAAACGACTTTGGCGGTGACGAGAGGGAAAAGTGGTAAGCGTATATCATCCACTTATTGCCTCTCCCGGAACTGTAATCCGGAAACTCGCAAACGTCCGGAAATATATATATAGGTATGAGCGGGTGATATGACGTATTAAAGCAACGAACTCTGATCCGCTATATAAGTACCGCCAGTTGTACTTAGGTGCAGGTATCCCGGCTATGGTCTGCGTCTGCAAAACAAAGATCATATAGATAAGTGACACGAGTGTAAATATCTTAGTTTGTGACTGCCGCAATCCAAGAGTAAAACGGTTAAGGTGCAATGTCAATAGATAAAAAAAACCATCAGCTTATCATAACATAATACACCGTCGTACTCATATTATGTTATGATATAATATCCTGAAAAGTATATATTCCTGTGAGTTGTGGCTAGGGTATAAAGGAGTCAATCTCACTTTGACAAATTTAGGGTAATTATACTTTAAGATATTTTTATAATATCAAATTTAACTTCTGTTGATGGTTTTGCTATTACCTCTATAAGACTTATTTGTACGCTTTTTTAAAATTAGATCATAATTTTTATATTAGACTTTTTGACTCAGTTTCAATTGTGATGGCTCTTTTAGACTCGAGCTACACTGAATTATTTTATGTACGAAAATAAATCATGGGTGCTCACGGTTTGCATATATTAATATGTACGCAGTACTCAGTGACAAAGGTCTGGTTTATAGTTGGTCACGACCTTCAATAATATAGGAGCCGATGATGATAATATTATGTTTATAGGCGTATAAATGTATATTATGGGGGGTGGGGCATAATAACTTTTTTTTACGATAGACCGGAGAAGTCAATTTTTACTGTTATAACTGATTGATACAGTTCAACAGATGTCCATACGAGAAGAGGTACATTGCATTATCGATGCGTTTAGGCATATTGATTTAAGTTTCAATTCCGCGCATCTGGAAAGCTGCAGCCGAACGTTGTTGGGCATGATGATAAATAATATTTATTATTATTACTAAACCTCGCCGGCGAACACATAATAAAATATTCGTTACACTAGACCCGGGGAGGGGTGTACGTGGGGGCCAAACGAATTTTAATTCGCAAACGCGTGCGCTCAAATCTTCGTCGAGCCCGCGGGCCCACGTGTTGACCGCATTCAAACAGCCCTCGGCCGATATGGCTGCGCAGTCTACCTACACAATAATAATAATAATAATAATATACAATAGAGAGTGCAGTCGGTGTGCTAAATGAAAACACGACTCGGAGCCATGGCGTGTGACGTCGGGGAGGTCGGTGGTCGTCTCGTTTGCTGTTTGTCTTATCATTTCGCGGTTGAAAAGGTTACACGCCGGTTACACTTTGCGCTTTCCGGTCGCCCGCGGTATCGACCGGCAATAACATTACATCGGCGGGAGCCGCATAACTGCATAATATTATAACGACGATAGTAATAATATTCGTCTTCGTCGACGTGGCCGCAGCCAACACCACCGGGCACACGCACACGCAGTCGAGTGAGTTTCTCGGGCCGAGGGGTGAGGCCTCGGCCAAGTGGAGCGAAGGGAAAGCGACTACATTATACTCGTCGTAGGTACGAATAACGGCGTAGGTATACATGGCCGGGGAAGCTAATTTGTCCAAAGGGTCTTTCGGCCGGTTCAGCGGAGCGTGCCGTATCGTATCGAATACACAGCCCTTCCAACCCGCCGCCGCCGTAAGTTCTATAGTCGGACACGCCGCACACAATAAAGACGCGACTGTGACGACCGAAGCGTACGGAACAAGTCGTGTCCGCTATTGTGTGCGTGTGTGTTTGATACCTGGTCACAACAAACCCAATTTTCCCGGCTGCCATTTACCCGTCCCCCGGGGGCCGGAGGATCGCACCCCCTCGCCCGGCGCCGTCGTCTCGTCCCGAAACATCGCGTCATCCGGCGGCAAGACCGCGGCCCCCTTTGTGTACGCCGTTTTCTTCCGAGCCTCCGGGCTGACCGTCCGACCGGAAGTCGCCCGAGTGTATATATATATACAAACACGCTCCTAACTCACACACGCGTTTAACACGACCGAAAAACGTTTAAAACAGTGGTCATTCCGACGGAAACGATTCGTAGTACTGTTACGTTACCGGACGAAAGGGGACGGACTATACCTCACAATGGGTATGCATAGGTAGGTTAGGTTAGGTAGCTACCTACCAGGAAGAGGTGTATTATATCGAAATCACTGTAAAGTACTCCAAGCACAATACAAATTGGTGTTTGGTGTCCACGATTTTCCGTTTCGACGGATTTCTATGGTCGTATTAACGCTCGCGCACACGTCGTAATTCGAACGGGAAACAATATCAATATTGGGCAACGTGAGACCTCCTAAAATACTGACCGGGATATCTCTTGCACGATGTTACATCCCCCCCCCCCCGAAATTTGTTAGTATATCCCCGTTTTGAACATATAATCCAAGAATATTACAACACATTTTATTTTTTAAACCGTCATACTCGAGTTTGAGTATTATTTTTCTTCTGCGATTTTCAAGGACTGCAATATTGTGATGTTTACACTTTACATAATATTCATTATTGATAAATCATTTCGAGGGCAAGAAGGTCGGTATAGAATAAATAAAAAGGTAAATCATGAATACCTAACCTAAGTTAAGGCACTGCTGCGAATCATGATGATTTTAAATGTTCAATACAATAAATGTATTATAATACATCTTCGATGTTATACATGTACAAATATTATATACTAGCTTCGCTTGTGTGCAGTTTTTTTTTGTGGAAAATCCTATAGATAGTATATATACTCTAATATAGGTATATGTGTAACTCTGGTTCAAGTATATCTCAGTTTCTAAACTTTATTGATATCTTTTGAAACAGTCTCTGAGATTTTCGTCAAACTCAATTGAGTAGTTTTTGAGTACATATATAAGCTACAAACATACATATTTTGATTTTAAGATATGATTTCCCTAATCGAGGCCATGTAATCACGACGATGTGATTCATATGCTTCCACCTGAGATGGTCGAGTAACCAATGGCAATCAATTATAAAAAAAAAAAAATTTCAATTTTTATCGTGAGTCTCAAGATCTCTGTTTGATCCCCTCTTTAAAATGTGACCATCGGAAAATCCTTCCTTATTGCACATATGTAGATCATCAGAGGAACCACTACTCCAAATGTCAAGTTAGTACACGTTTTGTAGTTCTTTGAGATGTAGCGATGAATGAGTGAGTGGATTATTATGTGAACATTACTATATAATAACGTTTACCTATTTAAAATTAATGTATTTTAACAATTAAATTACATATTATAGTATCGAAAAATGTAAAACGCTTGTATCTAAAACAAAAAAAAACTAATACTTAAAAAAAATATAAACTCGTTTGGATTATGCAGTATGATGTACGGTGTAATACTGTAGGTACATATTATACTTTATAGCTACATAGTTCGTTTAATAATTATAATAAATGGAAACGGGCCCATAAAAAAAAAGTTCCAGTTACGTAACAACCCCGAGCCCCACATGTGTGGTATACGTACCATAGGTAAGTATAGATATGGTGATTGACGCGTGAGACAAAATTTATATTTTATATTATTATTATTATCATTCTCATGCGGTTTATTATAATATTATACATCACTCTGTAAACAACTATTGTGTTTAGCAAAAAAATAGTAACAATAGTATTGTTTACGAAATATCTATTTTGTTGCAGCCAGTTGAGATATTTAACGTATGCTCCACGGACCTCATGAAAATCGGAGGGTTGCGATAGGTGTGCGCATCACAAGTAATCGACCACAGCATGAATGGGTGGTCAATGTATGAACCTATAAAAGTAATTATGTGAGGTCCGTTTTTTAATGCGGTCGAACGCAAACAATATTATATTATATATATATAATTTCGTACGTTACCTCACATGATAATAATATATTATAAGCTCTCCGACTGAAAGCCATCCGACCATTTTCTCTGGGCACAAAGACCCCCTGCGTAGTGATATAAAATGCATTAAAACCCATCATCCCGACAAATTGCACTAATATACATATTATTATTATTATTCTCGTGTGTGCATCAGCGCTGTATACCTACGCTGCCGCTCTGTATGAAATCGAAACCAAACCAGTTTAGTTTATATTATATTATAATAATGTAGCGTCTGCAGTCGTCTGATAATGAAGTTTTAAATCTGTTGATGGAATGAAAAAAAAAATTACGCAAAAAGATTTAGAAAATTTCGCAACCCTTATATACATTTTATATCCTCGACAACGCCATCCATCATAATACTGTGCGAAAGATGTAGGAAATATGTAATTATTATTATTATTGTTTTTTTATTTTACCGAATTATTAGTGAACGATTTTATATTATAGTGACCGTGACGAAGAGCGCCGCATATAACTACTTCAGGTATATAAAGCGAAACCTCCCCTAACGGACACCTCTAAATGGTGGACGTTTTTTTTTTTTTTTTTGGAACAAACTGTTCAATCTGAACTCTTTGAATAAGCGGACACCTCCGAATAGAGGACACAATATCAGTGACCCAGAGTGTAGGGTATTTATAGCTTTCACTGTATTATTATAAATACATTATTACACCGTCGGGTTGCATGAAAAATGTATTCGTTTTATGATAATGAACTTATTCTAGTTTGAGGAGGGACCATTAACGCAGCACTATATATTGATTCATTAAATGTTAAAACGATTGTTTGTGGAATCCATCATATAAAATAGCATAGTAAGTTGCAGTTAAAAGGTTGTCGCAGCTTCGGAATCGAAATTGTTTAATCGGAACCAAAACGAATTTTATCCACAGATTATCGGAATAATAATTGAACGGGAGTAATTCGGAATTAAATCATCAAAAGTAGTCTTTATAGTAGATAACTTTATTTAGTTGAACAAATTTTAGTACTCGTGTATAGTATATGCTACCTACCGGTAAATATGATATAACGACTATTATTTGTTTTATATTTTTATTTTATTTAATTACGGGAAAGTACCTGTGGCTTAAGTTATTAAAATAAGCAACTTATATTTTTTTAAAGTGTTAATGTGCTGCAGTATGTAAAAATGGTAAATTTTTTTTAGTAGGTAGATAACTTTTTAAGGTAGGTACCATACGATACCAACGAAGAAGAGGTAGGTAGCAAATTACACGAGTACCAAAATGTTTAGGGCGTTTTAGTTTTTAGTCGGTCGTTACCGTTGTTCGTTGTTCGTGTACCTACTTCGGAGTATTGTTGTAATACTTTGTGTTTTTATCAATTTTGACCAAAAATATATGCAAAAATTAATTTAATGTTTTTATAACTATTGAATACAATAAACATTATTATTACAACATAACGAGTAGAATATGGTACACATAGTGTGAACAACAGAAAGTTCAACTAGATTATGCTTTTGATTTTTTTAAATGTATGTAAGTACCTACCTACGCTTTTAGATATTGTCCGATATTAAGTCTATTCGTTTCCGTTCCGGAATCCATTCGGTTTCGAACTTAAACGAGGGCAACGAACTCCCAAATCTCTGTGCTACAAATATAATCAAATAATTGTCGAGATAAAATAACGGATAATTCATTTAAATTGTTGCTTGATAATGGTTGAAATATGACCACATAAAAAACAGATAATTGACAATTTGCATAATTGTGTAATAGCATATTTTTCCTAAAATTTGTTAATAATTGAGTTTAAATTTTAAATTCTTAGCGGAGCGAGGAAGCTAGTGGTTTTACAATGGTGTTTGTTTTTTTTTTATATCCTGTATACAAAATTTCTACCAGAAGGAGTGCATCGATTTCAACATATAGTACCTTATCTTTTAGAAAATTGGATCAAGATGGTACTTTAGAAAGGTAATTTTTCGATTTTCTCCATAGTTATTTAATGCCACGGGAAAAACTACTGACAAATTACGAAAAACCGCTTAAAATGGGATTTTAATTTCTAACGTTTTGTTTATCACCGTAGCAACGAATAAAAAATGATAAAATTAAAATATTAATTCCACTTAAAGGCTATAAAAAATAATAAAAATTTAAAAAATCCACACTGGTAAACCGTCTCCGCTCAAAATAGTTTTTCTTATACAATGATATTATATCGTTGAATTCAACTTTAATACGATCCATTACACATTGACCCACTTGTAACCTACTGTACAGCAGAGCGACATCCACTTACCTGCTTTTTTTTACATTTGTTAATACTCGCGTACATTTTAAATATTACACGATTATCCGTCAAAAATCATCTCTCATCCAAAATATAATAACTGTACGCCACTGCTGCTAGCCTTACACTTACCAACCACTCACCCTCGATATGTGTGGGTTCAGCGCCACCGATGATCAGTAAGAAACCAAAATATCCGACACTTAAGATCGACCAAACTGTCAGTGAATAATGTGTAATATTAAGTAGTAATAATTGCAATCGGCAACCGGAAATAATAACCTCGGATCTTGCAACTAGATGGCGCTGTGCATTACGATTACGCGTAAAGCGTTTCCGCTCTAGTAATGCCGCACGACTTGCTTTATCGTATCATCGAATGGGATTTTCTTCTTATTCGCCAGAAATATTATCGCAATGTTTTAGGGGGCCTCGGGAAATTCACTTTTCGTTTTGCAGTGTGTAGGCACTTTGTTGCGAGAGAAAAAAAAAATACGAAAATCGTGCACGGGAAAATGTGATAAACCAATAATCCCTATTTTCACTCTTGGACAGGAAACCGTCTCCAATTTGAGGGTCGGTCGGCTTGTCGTCGTCGATGTCCTCAGCCCGCCAAATCCGTTTACAGACAACGCGATTGACCAAAAAGCGTAGGACCGTAAAGTTATTGGAGAAATTCGATTTTCTATCGTCCGACCGTAACGCGATTTTGTTTTCTATACTGTCGCCGTGCACGCGCGAGTTGCGCAGTTGTAAGCAAATATAATATTAATATAATAGTCCAGACCAGAGGGTTTTGTTTCCGATACAAT